TATCTTTTACCAGTAAAGGTAAAAAATAAAGCCGGTGCCGTAGCAAAAGCTTACACGAGAAAGATGCACTAAGTCATAATAAAGCAAATGAGCAGAAAAGAGGCAACAAGAATCCGAGCAAAAGAGCAGGTATAAAGATTATCGTAGTAAACACCACCGAAGGTATCTCAGCATTTTAATGAATTACTCATAAATCCTATATCTTTTATGCCCTTTTATAATGATGCTACCAGAAATTCACAGGACTGTGATTAAGAAAAGAAAGTTGAGCTAAATCCTGAAAAGATTTTCCACAATATAGTCGAAGGCTGTATTTGATGCGCTCGAATAATAATGAGATGCTAAGAGTAACAATTCAATCGTGTTAACCTTTAGAGCCAACATCCGTAGTGCTTTTGGAGGCTTGAATCGATTTTTCTGATTTTAAGTGATTTGCAGCCGCTGCAACACCAGAAAGATGGCTGCAAACAGTGGCACTCGTCTTTTCAAATACATTTTTTGGCTCAGTTTTGGCGACATTTGCAACCTCAGCAAAATCTCTCTTTATGTCTTGCCAAACCTAAAAATATATAAATTCAAACAATTCAAAAAATTTAACAATTTATCATGGAAATTTTTTTATAAATTCTTACTGATCCAGAATTAAGATAGAGTCCTTCGACCCAATTTAGAGGCGAGGTCTGAATATTTGAATTAGAATCAACAGAAGTTCCGGATTCTCCAGTCTTTTCTAAATCAGGGACATCTTCAACGGGTGATATGCTAAGTTGACATTTCGAAAAATGAAAGGGCGAATAATAAGGCAGAAATGGCGACAAATTTTAACGACAAAAATGATGCGACATTGGGGTGGAATTGGAGTAACCTATAAATATTTATTTTTGCAATTTATACATGTGCCAACAAGCAAGTATATAAACTAGTTAGCCACAACTACAGTATAAGACCAATTAAAAGGGGAGGCAAATCCTCTAGGGAAATATAAGTTTAAATAAGAGCAGTTGATGATGCCGTCAAAGCCAGAAGATAAACGAGAAAGCCTCATAAAATGCCAATGAGATATGAGAATAAATGCGTATTTGAGGCCAATAATCCATTTTTCATGTTCCTTTTCGTAAAGGGGAAAAATTCAAAACGATAGAGACAGGAGATCATGTAAAGATTTCTTTCAAAGAAACAGATACAAGTAAAATTGCCAAAATTTCATAAAAACTTAACTAAATAGTAAAAGCTTCAAGAGAAGAAAAATAGATAAAAGTGTCTAAATAAAGAGATGAAAAAGTCCAAAATTTCAAGCAGTTTGGAAAATTTGTGAAGGATTCCTCAATCTCTAAAAAAAGTAAAAAATAACAATGGAGCAGAATAAAGCAATGAAGTTATGCTAGTAAAGCAGAGTATTTTTAACGGGAAGCACACAAATGGTGTGGATAACCTTGCCGGACTTCCCTATCACTCAGAAAGGAAAAAGCTCAAAAAGCAACACTTCTAAAATGGCTTTAATTATGGTCAATATTAAAGATTCTATGGATATTATAAATATGCACAAAAGCAAAGTAAAGAAAGTTTCAATTAGCCTAGTTGATAATAGATAGATTAAACTAATTATTTATCCATACATGGAATTTAGCCGTCAAATATGGACATTAATATCAAAATGGTAATACATTCAAGCTAAATAGA